ATATATCATGGTATTAATGGTCATATAGAGTACTAATTCTAGAAAAAGGCTTTATCTAGCTTCCCATTCAGGTTTTAGTCTCTATCAGGTAACTAGCAATTAAGCTTTTGTACTCTGGATGTACATAACAAGTACTGATCCTTTAACCTCTTGGAGATCTGATGCATATGGCATTTAAAACGTTTAAGTTTTCGGCAGTGAGCCATGACCATGCTTAGCAACAACCTTTGAAGTTCCAAAGGGATGATGGGGCCCACAATGACATTTCCACCAGGACGATGACAATGTCACTAAGATGACAAACACCACCCAAAGATTGGCTTTGGACTACAGACTACTCAGGACAATTTTGAGGTGGCTTGCTTAGATGGTCCAGCCTTACAGACTACTCTAGCCAGGCAGGACTTGAGATAAGCCCTGCATTCTCCCATTACACAGAGAGACTGGGCAACAAATGATACAGCTACCTCTCCCAGGACTTGACAATTAACGCAATTTTTCCAGGTCCCATAAAGATGCTGTTGCCCCTTATAATAAATAGAAATATAATTTTTATCTTTTACCATAGTAAACTTCTATGGTTGGAGCCTGATTCGTGAGGATCGGGTCTCTAGCGGCTCTAGCCAGCTGCTGTTAGGCTCCACGCTGTTCATTTGGGTATAGAATTCCCGTGCAGCGGTCCTGAGTAGCTGCCTGACACGGTCCTTCATATTTTCTCTTTAAACGTCACAGCTGGCTTCTGGGTCCAGTTTTCCGGTGCTTGCAGATTCTCAGATGGGACGCAGGATTCCCCAGTTGTCTCTGTTCGGCATTTATGTTTGTGCAGCCGCTGACCAATCAGGGACCTCCACGGCGCACACAGCCTGTGATTTACACTAAATAACTGTTTTTAATCTGAGCATATCTTTTAGCTTTAATCTGAGCATATCTTTTAGCCAGTCACACAGTACAAGTGTGCCGCGACACCTACTGGCAGGTAACAGTTATTGCACCTACTCCACCT